AGTATAGTAATGACCCTTTGCCTATTTTAAATCCTTCACTCATTCCCTTCATAGTATGGAGATAATGGAGTTCCATAGCCAATAATGTACAGGCTGTTGTACAGACAAAATACACATTGCCAGTAGTCCAATGGCAGGATTATTATTTTTTTAAGTTAACACTGGAAGATGTTGCAGGTTCCACTTTTGTTACCAACAGTGTTTAGAAAGTATGCACTTCTGTAACGGTCCTATTTGGTGGGGTTTGTAACCAACAAAGAATTACTAAGTCATGAGATCGAAGCCAACATGAGTATCAGACTAGATTGGAAACAAACTCCATACTTTCAGAAATCCTGACAGATTACCAAGCGCAGGAAAAGGAATTCATCCCAGTTGAGAAGACACTGTTCAATCTAACAGTTCAGCAAATAGCTGGAAAGATTTTATGATATTTGAGCCTTAGAAAACTTACTGAAGATAACAGGACATCTCATCAACATTAACAAACAGGTGACAAGAAAGCCAAAAAGTAATGGCAAAATAAGGAAATGACGTCAAATTAATGAAAGCAACAGCGTCAGAGTTCCTTTCCTGGCAAAATAACTTTCCACCTTACAAAAATGCCAGCATAAATGATATAGATAGGACCTTTACTGTCACTCAGCTGCAAAGCCAAGGACCAAAAATTGCCACAGACTGAGATCCTCCTGATCTAGGAGTTTCCCATCTCTCCATAGCAGGAGATACATGCACAGAGGCAGGGATGCCAGGGAAGCCTGCATCACTTTCCAAAGCTTTATTTATCCCAAGTATAAAGAGAAGATTCTGGCAGCTGTCTGCATGCATCAGTCTACTCTTGTTCACCAGCTCTGAGCTCACATCACATCAGCACTATAAAAAAGGAAGAAGACATAGGCAGCAGTTTTGGAAATGAAAATAAAGCATTTTTAAATCTTTGCAAGAAGATGATGACTGCCAGGGCTCAAAGACCTTAATTTTTTGCAGACACAAGTAAGAATAAATCAATGTGGCTCAAAACTTTCAGGCTTCTTGGTCTTTGCAAGCAGATCAGTTTGGATCATATAATCATTAAATCATAATTCTATCCTACCATAGGATAGAAGATAACAGTGCCTAGGCCAGTGTGTATCAAAGATTTCAATATCCAGCTTCATGAGTCTAAAACATTATTGTATCTGCCTGTAGACAGTGCCTCTCATTCAGCCAACACCCTGCAGCTCCCCAGAGATGGTGTGATAGGAGCGCACAACATCCAGAGATACATGTCTTTTAAAGCCCTCCTAGCTAAATAAGACATAACAGTACCCAGGACCCTATTAAAGCAGGAAGGGAGTCCAAAAAATATATGAATCAGGGCCTGGGAAATCAGTGTTATACAGAAGCCTGTTACAAAAGAAAGTGGAAAACTGCTGTGCTCCTGGGGCATTTACCTTACCAAGGCAAGCAAGTGCCAGAAGCCATGAGTCCTATTTGTATAGGAAAACACACCATTCCCTTCAGACTCCCAGTGTGGAGGAGGATGTTGAACCACACCATCCCCCTGCAAGCCCTCCCTCCCTCTCCTCCACCATAGATATACAAGGCTAAGTTGATGAGCTGGTTCAGCTTAGTGTGAAATGTGTTACATTTTCCCCCCAGCTGCTTCCTGATTGCAGTATTTACTTTTAATCTCCTCTGCCTCAATGCCCGATAAAAACTTTGTCACATTAGATGGTGACAGATGGGGAAGAGAAGGGGGGGATCACTGCAAGGGAACGTCCTGGCTTCCCAATAATTTTTCACAACACCAATTATGTCCTTCAGTGCTTCCCGGCATGTGCACCCATGTCAGCAGAGAAGGAAATAGAAAGGCATAAATAAAGACAAAACCAGGCATTGCGTGGCTTTAATCTGCAGAATAACATTTCTCATTTAGGTGAAATATTGTTGGATTCTTTCCTGTGCTGGAAATGGAGACACACACACATATATACAGAAACACAGATGCACAGAGTTCACAACTGCCTTCCTTAGGCATGAACACTACTGTCCTCACAAGCAGCTCTCTGGCATTATGAACAGAAAAGTGCAGGTATCTCCTGCTTTCTGAAAGGTATCTATGACCAACAAGCCAAATCTTATGCTCTTTAATCCAATCTCCACTGACTAAATGGAGGCAACATGAAGATTCTTATGTTACGGTACCAAAAAGTTCCTAGAAAGTTTAAGAATACAACATATTAGGCAGTACTTGAGGCTGCTGGCAAATGTCACTTTCCAAGACTAACCTTGGATGACACTACATTTGGCACCTTTAGATGTCTATCCAAGGTGACAAAGGGCAATCTTTTGAATCTGGTTTACTTCTTGCTTAGGTCTCCAAGGGAAATGAAATGCAGTAGTAAAAAACTGCATTGGTGGAGATATATATGGCAGCAGCTGAAGGTAATCATGGAAGCAAAGGGTGAGGGAGCCAGGATGAAGATGTGAGATGGCTTTGACCTGGGCTGGGATTTATCCAGTCCTACCAGGACAAAAAAAAACCCCTACATTTTGTTTGCCCTTTCTATATTCAAGAAATAAGGCTTTATGCACCTTCTTTATGAACAAGAAAAAAAATAATCAAAATATAGCAATTCCCCAGCTATTTTTAATGTGAACTAAGAGAATCACAGCTACTGCTCTCATCTTGACAATCCTGGCTCAGTCCCAAACAGGGACAAGACTTCAGTGACTTCCATTGCAAGCAGAATGGACAGGCAATGTCCCAGAGGAGTACATAATGAAACAAGAGCAGCTGCTCTATGGCATGATGTAAGTGTAGCAACAGAAATGATGGAGAAGAGCCTCAACTGGAACAGAAGGAAAGGGTAACTTTCCTAACAAGTGAAGCATGGTGTACATGAATGTTGACAGATAGGGCACATTCAGGTATCTTCCATTAGGCCAGAACTTGGCCTGCAGGAGTCTTGGTAAGAAAGTAAAATGAGCAGTCTCTGGGCTCCAGGCTAGAAGATTCAGCAGATATCAGGCAAAAGGCTGTGAGCCACAGAAGTGATGAAGAATCCACTGATAAAATGAACTATGCTTTATAAGAAGCCAGGGAACAAATGGCTGGAGCTAGAACAGAAAAGATAAGGCAAAGGAATGAGAAAGTATTAAGTTCTTTAGCTATAGATTTGCTTTACTGAAAATAGCTAACTAGTAATAGAAACATTATGGTCTTAAAGTGTCATTATGGTTGTGCATGACCACATTTTGGCAGTCATGTCTGTATTTATATAACTGTCAGTATGGATGTATTATAAGCAGATTTACAGGTCTGATTATGCCCGTGAAACTCCCTAGAAGCTCAACTACAATGGGCTCAGCATGATATTATAGTGGCAAAGAAAAATGCCCTTTTCCCTACAGACAGAACCAGTGAAGACACACAGGTCTCTGAAGAACTTGTTGGGTATAAATCAGCAGTCCTAGACCAGCTAGACCTCAATGGATGTAGGAGCAAGAACAGCCACTTACAAGAGAAAGTTAGTATGAAGAAAAAGAAATGTCAAGGCAAATAGATTTAAGGAGAAGGATAATATTCAGATCTGAATAATTTTTAAAATCCTGTTGCCTTTCCAATGGATAAGCACTGAGGCTAGGAACTGTACATGGGCTTTACCCCTTAGGATTTTCTAAGAAGCATTTTTGGTAGAGCTGCTAAAAAATAGCATCATTGCTAAAAAATAGCATCATATTTGCAAACAGATATAGCAGACAATTGCTTTGGTGTGGTACCATGTCCTAAGGTGAGATTCTTTGTTCCTTCCCATTTTTATAAATATATCAACCCAAATCACTTGTGGTTGACTAACTGATAAAGATTCAAAAAACTAAAAGCTAGAAACATCCAGATTATTTGTTTTCATCTGCTTTCATTATTTCTTCAAATTAGTTACTCACCAAAGTAATATTCTCAGCTCTTTACTGCAATATTTTTGCAGCCTCAATGAGGGTGTTTCTACAAAGAAAGAAAAAAAATATGCAGACAGCTACTGTCCTAATGTAATTTGATCTAAAAGTGTCTTTTTGTTAGGCAGGAAAAGAGATGAATCACATTTTATTTCTCTGATTCTCCCTAGAGATTGTCAATCAGTTTAACTTGAATTTATTCTTATTTGCAAATCAAGTTAAAGGAGTAGGACTGTCCTAGGAATCTAGGCAGAAGAAACATTCCCCTACTTATTTTTTGGGTTATTTCTAAATGAGGATAAGAAAAGAAGACCATATGCAGAGTACTCTCTCTCTTCTTGCATCCCAATTTTATCAAGCAATACTCAGGCCACGGTTTCTCCTCTCTGTTTAGCTGCCTTACCTTCAATGCTTTAGCACATGTTCAAAGGCATATTGCTCCCCTATCTTAGAGCTTACACTTAGGCTGAATCTACTTAAGTACAGTGACCAAGATTTAGAGAACTCCTGTTAAGAAGTATGTGCACTTTTTACATTCCCCACCCCCCCAAAAAAAAAAAATCAGTTTTTCCTTCATTTAGGCACAATAAACTTCCTAATAATGGGAGAAAAACAACTGCCAACTCAGTGACTGTGTTGCTGTGCACCAGGAGGATTCCACAAGCCACCCCATTAACTTCGGTCTCTAGAGGAAAGACAGGAGCGCTTCAATATGCGCTCAACTTTGCTTCCTTATGTCACTATGCTGGACCATGTGGTTAGAGGAAACCAAGTGAATTTTGTGTTATTTTCAGGAGCTGGAGTTTTTCCCTGAGGAACTGGTGATGTTGACTAAGAAAAATCAGGGCAAAGTAAGCTAACCTTCCAAGCTAAAGATCTCTCTGCTTAACACAAAGCATTGCAGATTCTATGAACAATGTGGTCATTATATTACAGTGCTTTTCACACCACCCCACCAAGTAGGCTGGAGTGCACAAAGACACACTGGGAGGCGATGCAGCCAGGACAGCTCAACCCAGTTGACCAAAGAGATATTCCATAACATATGATATCACGCTCACCATATAATGCTGGGGGAAGGAGGAGGAAGGGACAGGTGTTTGGAGTGATGGCATTTGTCTTCTGAAGTAACCATTACAGGTGATGGAGCACTGCTTTCCTTGAGACGGCTGAACACCTGCCTGCCAACGGAAAAGAATGAATGAATTCCATGTTTTGCTTTGCTTGCACGCATGGCTTTTGCTTTACCTATTAAACTGTCTTGATCTTAACACATGAGTTTTCCCACTTTGACTCTTCCAAGTCTCTCCCCGATCTCAACAAAGGGGGAGTAACTGAGCAGCTGCCACCTGGGGTTAAACCATGACAAAAAGGTATTCAGGAATTAACAAGCATGCTCTTCCTTTGCCTGCTGTATGAATGTTAGCAGCACTTAAACCTGCAGCTTCTCGGGCAACTTATGTTTTGTGGCTGGCAAAATGCTTGTCAAGGTACTTGCCAGCAGTGGTACAAGAATACAGCCTATATTTTTTCAAATACTCAGCAAGTCCCATCAGCTTTCCAAGCAGAGATTTGCAGAGGCCTTTTGGAAGTTAGATAAGAATTTCCAAACCACCTTCTCTTCAGTCATTTGAACAGTCCATTCCTTGTTTACATAACTCAGAGCAATGACAAGGGAAAGGACTTTGCAAGTAAGTTTTGCCTGACCCTTGCAATCTCAAAATCACAGGATGTTTACCATGGTCCTGTGGGAGCTTCCATGCTTTTCAGCACCAGCACAGCCCCAAGGTGCTCACTGTGTTGCAGTGACAGCCACAGCAGTGACATGCAGTGTGCAACCAACTGAGCAGAACAGTGAACAGCCCACTGACCCTTGTTGAATGGGTCTCATTAAAATTTCCAGGCCCCCAGTGAAAATTGAGTGGTACTGGCTCAGAGTACACAAGTATTCATGTCAGCACTTCCAGTCAGCCATTTCATTCATTTTCATAATCATCCCCACTTGATACCTGCCCTTCCAAAGGAAGCATGTGCAGGCTTTAAAAGATTAGCAATACTTTCCTCAGCTGGTACTTCTGAGGTATTTAATATAGTATATAATAATTCGTGACAATGAACAGAAAGCAACATTCTCCCTGCTCTACACAACATTAAAGTCAAATACTGCATGCCTGCATCATCCACACTAACAGTTTTCAGCTTACAGTCTGCAGACAGCCGTGATCCCTCAAAATCCTCGCAAGAGAATCACAAAAGAAATCTACAAGAAGCAGTGTCATTGTCAGAAGGCTCAGTATACAGGAGTGCACGCAACCATGGAAAAGTGCTTCAGAGGTCCACAAACAAACGAAAAACCAAACCCAAACAAACAAAAAAATGACTGAGAGACATCATAAGTGTGGCAAATGATACATAAATATTTTAGCTGGACTAATGAAGAGGCATTGGTATGCGGACACCATTACTAGATTTGCTGTGAAAGTCTTTAATGATAGTACATGAAATTTCTTCTCAGTACATTTTATTGACTTAAGATAATAGTTGTTTATAAAGCATCTGTATTATTTTGTTTCAAAGAATTTCTTATTTTCTTAAAAGATGACAACTTATTTAGGAAGAAATCACACTGATGTTTCATGGGTTTCTCAAAGTCTTTGTAGCAATAGCATATTTTCAATAGAAGCGTATTTTTCCCTTCTGTTCTGCAGAAACTTCGTATGAATAGCAACATATTTATTGGTGAAAATAATGCAACATGGCATCAGAAACCAAGAGATCAGAGAGCAGTGATTCAGTGAAAAAGCCTTTGGTCAGAGCAGATACCAAATTGCTCCAAAGCAAGCAGAGTGATTTTATTACAAATCCTGTTTTAATATTTATTTAAAGACACCACTTTTGTGAGACACATGGGTGACAATACCTCCTTTTGTGACACAGATGGGTGATAACACCTCCTCTTTATTCAATTCTAGTGAGAAGATCGAAGGCTGCATTAAGTACTACCCCCTTGCACGTCAATACATAGGGAGAGGATATCAGAACAGAGTCCAGACAAGGTCTCTAAATCTGCTGAAGGGATTAGCTACCTTATTCCAAGCCCTTCAACAGGGAATAGAGGCACTGCAGAGCACCTGGAAATAGACCATTACTTTGATCAGGGCAACAGGGGGAAAAAAGATGACTGAAAAACAAGTCTTACAAAAGTTTGTTAATAATTCTGGTGGAATGGCCCAAACTGATTTCAAGCAACAACTCCCAGCTGTGAGGTCTCTCTATACAGTGCTCCTCAAATCACATCAGCAGACAGGGGCATTGTGACTGGACCTATGTACAAATCCTCACCTCCTACTGAACAAGAAGAAATACCGCAGAAAACTACTGGATATCGTCTGTGGATCTTAGGTGACCACTGAACTAGACCTGAATAGGAGGGTGCCATTATGACACAAAGGTTTATCTCAAAGACTGCACCCTGCTCCTGCACATCCAACAAGCCGCAACCTTGCAGGCTTCCACAGGATACAGCAGTGAGCTAACTCAGATGTGCAGGTCTGAAATATTAATATTAGGACCTAGGCCCTCCACCCCTCACCTTCAGGTAAGAATAACCCCACCTCTTTAAAGAAGTTTCAGAAGTAAGTTTTGATCACACATTTTTGTCCACAGCTAGTTAAAAGATGCGATTTTGAGCCCTGTGGAAGCAGAACAGGAGCCTTTTTTGCTTCTCAGGGTTTGTGAAGGCAAGGGTAGCGGGTTTCAGAAAGATTATCCCACAGTTCAAACTCATTAATGAAAGAAAGAAATTAACCAAGCTCATTTTTCAGGGAATTCTTGTGTAAACTGGAAATTTTCCAGTCTGTGAGCCCCGCACTGTGCTAACCCATAAATCACAGCAAGCAGGTTGTCTGTATAGTGAGCTCAGCCACGTTCAGAGATGGGGGGTGGGGAGGTGGAGGAACCAACATATGTTCATGGAGAAAAAGCCTATAAAAACAAAACAGGAAAAAAAGAATACCTCCCTTGCCCACCACTGGAACAAAATAAAAGGCTTGGCCTCAGGCACTGAAACATACGCTGTCTGCAAAGAGTCCCCCAAACCAGGGGAAAGCACCTGAAACAGGTCAGCTTTTAATTGAATACAATATTAATTACTGCGTGCACCATTAACGGTTTGTGGGATTTGACTAATTAATGTAATAGTTTCTGAGTCACGCTCATTAAATATGAAAATTATGCCGGTGAAAGGTATCGGTTTCATTATCAATCTTGTATGGACAGGAGTGGGGGTGGGGAGAGGCTGCAGTGGAAAGAGTCCCACCCCAAGTTATTGTGTTATTAGCTCTCTCCTCTTGGAATTGGTTCAGGTGGGCAGAAGGAAGAGCCAAAGTGAAAAGAGGCAAGAACAGGAAGCATTACCTAGTGTTTGGAAGTCAGGACCCAAAAGCTATCCAGCTCTGATTGAATGTACACTTTTGTATAGCAGATGGAGCTGGCTGTCTGCATGCAACTTCAACTAGTTGTTGTCAGTTCCCATCATAACGTTTAGTTTCCTTCATCTCCCTGGCACAAGCATAATGAGAGAAATTGATGTTATGGGGTACTTCATTCATTAACCCATATAAGGCATGTGGTGGTTCCAAAGCAGAAAAGTACAGGGAAGGTAATTAGCACTGCTAAAAGCCAGTTCCAGAACACAAAGGATATGTTGAGAGATACTGCCCTGGGACGCACCCCTCACATGGGGCAAAGCTGTTACAGAAGGAGGACCAGAGATGTTATACCTCTCATTCATATCAAGCAATGCAGGATGGAGGCAGCACTGATGTATTCCAGAGGGAACTGCCATCAGTCCTGTATAGGAAGAAGAGTCACCTGCATGCAGGACCTCCAGGCAAAGAAAGGGAAGAGACATCAGTGCTCTAGGGTCCCTTTGTGCCCTACCCACCAATGGAGCAAAATGCAGAGGTCACCTTCTAGACTGAAATCTGAGAATAAGTACACAGCTGAGACAGTAAGAGGGCAGAAAAAATCCTCAAGAGTAAGATAAATGTCTAACATCACATAGTGGGACTCTTCTTCCAAGGATCATAGAAGGATTTGCGATCACCACCCTGTTATCAACAATGCATAAATGCTGCATAGGGAGCCCTACAGGAGCAGGAGGAGCAGAGATAATACCAGTGCTATTATTTTTGTAGCAGTCTTCTCGACTGATTCTTAACATATTTGGCACATGCTATAGGAGTCGAGAGGAAAGGGGATAGCTTTATACCAGACCTGCACGTGTCCACATCCATGCTGCAGGTATATATCAGCCTGGAAGGCCCAGATACAGAGAAGAGAAACCAGCAGGTGGGAAAAGGGCAAGAAGAGGACAATAGCACACATGCAAAATCCAACAAACAGCTCAAAGCCCTGATTCTCCTTAAAAGGTAAGGGAACGCCAGCAAGCAGTAAACCTGTTAGAAAGGAAATCCCATACGCTACGGTAGGGTTTTTATCACTTTGTCTAACAAGCAATGGCTGATGTATTATTTTCTTCAAAATAGATGCTGGTGTTCTTTCTAAATAACACTGGCTTGCTAGGAATTTGCGACTGAGCTTGCCGAGAGTTGGTGAGATTATACACAGCCTGTTCCTATTTGGGCTTATAACTTACACAACCATGACCAGTCTGCAGGCTCCTGTACTGCATCTAAGGCATTATCCCTTCTCCACTGTACATCTTCAGCCCAGCCGCCTACACACAAACGTTCCTTCATACTCCAGGCCCCACAGCCCTGTACTGAGCAAGGAAGGCAGGTATATACAATTAGTTCTGCTTCATATAGGAACTATGAGTGCCATGGGCTCTGAGAAAGCTAGAAAATTTGGAGGGTCTCTGATATAATTAACTCCAAACTTTTGATGAAGATGATGGCAGGGCTCTCTGCAGCCTTATTAACAAGGCTACCTTTTCTCTCCATAACAAGACAAATAATCATTCATGGAGTGAGATCAAGTACCTTCTGTGATTCAAATCCTATACCAAACAAACAAGAACTCTTCTGGTCTGGAACAATGCCCCATACAGATGGCATTTTCTGGTCCTCCCTTTTCCAGGTCACAGTGTTTCACCTAACTCCTTCCCATCTATTTTGAAGATGAGCTTTGAATTTTTAATCCGTGTTCACCAAA